CGGGGAATGACAGATTTTGGAGAAGGTGCAGCTGAGACTGGAGAAACACAAACTACGATGGAGCGACAGAAATATCCACATCCCACCTTCCCCAAAGTAACACTATGGGATCTTCCAGGAATTGGGACTCCCCACTTTGAACCAAAGCAATACCTGAAGCAGGTACATTTTGCGGAGTATGATTTCTTCATCATCGTTGCCTCAAATCGCTTCACTACAATTGATGCCCTCCTGGCTTGTGAAATTCAGAAGATGGGCAAGAAGTTCTACTACGTGCGCACCAAAGTGGATGTCAGTATAGATTCTGAAAGAAGGAAACCAGGCTTCAGTGAGGAGAAATGCCTGGAGAAGATTAGGACATACTGCAGAGATAACCTGACACAGGGAGGAGAATCTGTTCCAATGGTTTTTCTCATCTCCAGGTGGGATTTGGATCTGTATGACTTCCCCCTCCTTCAAGAGACCTTGGAGAATGACTTGAGTGATCTCAAGAGAGAAGTTTTAATTGCAGCTATGCCAGCTTTCTCCAAAGAAGTTCTGAAGAAGAAAAAGGCTGCTATGGATTCCTTTATATGGAAAGTAGCCCTTGTGTCTTGTGGCATCGGGGCAATCCCTGTCCCTGGCCTCTCTCTCGTCTGTGATATCGACATCTTGGTTGGAACAATGACATATTTTTGCAAAGCCTTTGGTCTGGATGAAGGTTCCCTCCATAGACTTGCGAACCGGGTTGGCAAACCTGTTGACGTGTTGCGATCAGCTATCAAAAAGTCCCCAATGGCCAGCCAAATCACCAAAGAATTTGTGATTGATCTGCTGACCAAGTCATTATTGTGTGGAACAGAGATGGCGGTCGAATTTGTGATTGATTTTGTACCTGTGTTGGGCTCTCCTACTGGCGGAGGGCTTTCTTTTATAACAACATTCTACTTGCTGAAGAACTTTCTGCATGATGTTGAGGAAGATGCTGAGAATGTCTGGGCAAAAGCTGCAGAGTCCTCAGACAAGTAAAGGACCAAGACACCTCATGTGGAGAAGTGACTGAGGCAAACAGTGCTGGACATTCATGCAGAGAACAAGGAAACCAAACTTCAGAACTGATTCTGGGTATCATACCCATGTTGGATATCCTAGTTGGTGGGGCAGATCTTTTGGAGCCCCATTCTCCCTCCTGAGAAGCTTCTGGAAAAAAACTGAACGAAAATGCTCAGAACAATCAAGGAAAGCTGTTGAGCATTAAGAGTCCCAGCTAAGGAGCCTCCTGAAAAGAAAAGCTGAGGCATCAAAATTATGCATAATGGTCATGCACTGTATATTGGAAAGGAAAGGAAACAGGATTTCACTTTCTGATTCGAAGCCCCATCTCCACACTGTTAACTAGAACTTGAACTATATGGTCGAGTACCATAGTGGCAAATAAAGACATTTTTCAGTTTTCTTAATGGAAGTGCTTTCAGGTGTTCTCACTCAATGTGCCAAACACTCAAACGGTCCCTATGGAACCGTGAACATCCTGTGCTGGTTTCTCGTAGTTCGTATTGCAGACCAAGGAGAACATGAAAAACAATACAAGTGGCCCAGCTCAAAATAGAGAATGTTGCTCAATAAGTCAATGCTGGTTAGAAACTCTTCCTTGTGGTATCTTTTCCTTTTCTTAGCACTGCAACAAAAGTTGATCCTTTTCAGCACAGCATTGCCCAAGGGGAAGCGTTGGGTGTGCCTTTGGAAGTGACAATATGTGCAGGGGTGGACAGGGAACCTCAGTTCTTGGGCACCAGTTCCTCAATTTCAGGCATCAGTCCTCTCTTCATCCTCTCTAATTTCTTCTAATCCTTGGAACACTTTCCTGGGAATAAGCCCCACTGCATAGACCTGAACAGGATTCTGAGTAGAACTGCATAGGACTGCACTGTTTGCCTGGTTAACTCTTCTCTACAAATAGGGGAGTGGACCCACCAGCTGGATTGACAACACCTGACTCCTAACAGTAGATACAAATGTATTAAGGTTTAGCTTTTGCTTTTAACTAGGTGGGCTGGAGGGCAGTGGGAGAAAGCTTGAGTTCTAGAGAAATTTGGCTATTTGCTGTTATGTCATTAGTTTTTACTTATTTGAGCTGTTTTGCTTGACCTGCACCCCAAGTTTCCTCTTTCTGTCATGTTTTGAAATGGCTTTGCTGTTCACTTGTAGTTATCAGACTTAACCTTTTAACCTTCATTAATACTGTCTCCATAAGACTCCTACTCATCTTTTGTACAGCATTCTGTAGTATCTGGTCATTTCATTCATGTAACGGTTTGATAGTATGTCCTTATTTTGGCTTACTTGCTTGATCATTCCATTCATCTCTTCTGCTTTGCATATTTGGTATGGGCTGACATTTCATTTAATCTATTCATCTATAGTGTGCTTTAATAAACTAGTCATTTAAAACTTTTTAAGTAGAACATCAAAAAAGAATCTCTACATAATCACTTGTAACAGTTACTCTTGATTGTATAGTATTCTCAAGCTATATACCGTACTTGTATTAATGTTTTTAATTATTTAATTATAAAACATTTCAATTATTCTCCACTATGCTTAATGCAAATTTATTCAAAAAAACATGTACTTACAAATTACTTACTCTGAAATGTTGATTACAGAAATTGTTGTATATGTTAAGATTCTAAATATATAATAAAAACATTTAAACATAAAAAAATAAAGTCTGCTTGTTGGTTAACCATGAGATGATAAAGGACCCAGATGTACCCAGTCATGAAAGGAGATTTGAAGGAGATCATCCAATGGTAGGAATGCACTAATACACACATGCACATTCATTTGCACACTCTCATGTTGCAGTTGAGCCCAGAGACCTAATTTGGTGTTTCTACCATTGCAGCAATCAGGGGTCATTTCGTAGAAAAAGAGCTAGGGGAACTCATTAGCATAACTCATTAGCATATGCCCTCTTCTCCTGCTTCCTCCTGGCTGAATGAGGGCCGGAAGCGGGGCAGCCGGAAGCAGGGGGCGGGGCTTCATCATGTGCCCTGCCCCCATACCTCACTCGGGGGAACTGCGATCCCCCGCGATCCCCCCCGAAATGACCTCTAGCAGCAATGCTCTTGTTTGCAGCTGGTAAGACTGTCCTGCACATTCTGGTATGTATAGGTGGAATGTACAAATCAGATTATTGTCCTTAGTGTTTTTGCAACCAAAGTCCTAAACAGCAAACCCTCATCCCACAATAAACCACGTTCCACAGGAAAACATGGAAAATTTAAAGATCGCTACTGCAGAAGTTGTCATGTGATTTGACAGAAGCTGCTAGAAATTTTGCCACATGCAGGGTGCGGTCACATATGCCAGATAAAATGGGGGGGGGGAAGTGAGGCTATTTCCTCCGGAGGAATTTGACCTGCAGTTGCATGATCACACCTCCCTTTAAAGCTGTGGGTGCAGTCTGTCAGTGTGGGATCAGAGGCAACTGTGGATGAGTTGTGTTTTTTTTGTGTGCTGTTTGTTTTCCATACGCTTAAACGAGGGATCAATGAATTGCACCTCTGCCCTGAGGCGTTTGCAATGATGTGTGTGGGAATGGAAAAATCTCTGCGAGGCACGCCCAGAGAGGCTTCTGTTCTCACAGGGAGATTGGCAATGGGAGATTGGCAAGCAGGGCACAATCTTTGCTGAGTCTGTATGAGCCTATTATATCATTAAAGAGCACAATGAATTACTGAGAGCACAAGATTTGCAACATTCAAGGATGATTTGAGCTGTGAGAAGAACATTCTGTGTTTCTAGCATAGAGGCTTCAAAATGTAACACTTTCACTGTACCATGGATGTTTTTGCTTTTTTTCTGAATAAAGCACTTCTGACAGGCAGTTCAGACAGAACAGTTGGAACAGAGAGATGAATTGAGATGATCAGAGAGCTTGTACTAAGCTCTGTGTGTTGTGTCGTTATTGAACCCTACAAAAGTCTACAGATGTGCATACTGCAAGGGGGGGGGAACAACGGCACGGAGTCGGGATGGCCTGATCAGACCATCCCAATGCCATGAGAGCACACTGGAGCAATCAGACAGGGGAATGTCCATCCGTGGTCAGTCGCAACCCATTTCCTACCAGATTTTCCCCAATGTCTTTTAACTCCATTTCTGCAGCGGAGCAGAATGGGTTGCCGATGGCTGCGGGGCACTTCCCAGATGTTGTCTGATTGCACCCTTTAAATTCGCATGGCATTCTGTATGATCACAGCCACAGAGTAGTTTGTTAGTCTTCATCTCTAAGTAACCAGGATGATTTTGTTTCTGGAGAAAGTCCGGATTAAAAAAACGAGAGATCAGTTTATCTCTTAGAGCTGAAAATTTGGGAAAATCAAACAAAATATGATCCGCAGAGTCAATTTTACAGGTGCAGCAATTAGAGTATGAAATCCCATTAAATCTTCCTGGCATCACAGCTGAAGGTAGGGCACTCAGGTGCGCCAGCACGAATGGCCTTCTATTCTTTGGAAGAATGACCTCAGATAAGGAGTTTGGCATTGTTGTTGGAGGCTGAATGCCTACTGAAAAGGTTGAGCACACTCTGCGGGCTCTAATCGACTGCTCTCATAGTCAAAGTCTCTCAAACATCTTCTAATGAGCTGTGACAGTTCATGTCTACTCATTACTTCTATCACATCATGGGTGATACCCAGACATAATAGTTTATGGTCCAATAATCTGTCCCAATCACTTGTGTGGTGGTCCAGCTTGACTAGACTGAGAAGGTTCATATCTGGGTTTGATCTTAGAGTCCTAATTTTCAAAGCAAATGCTCTTCTCTAGGCCTTTGCTTCATTAGACATCTCTCAAACTTGGGCTCTCAGGGTATTCCGGACACACACTGAGGTGTTCCCAGAATATTGTGTAGGAAACTTTTTAGAGGTCTGTCGATATTGTCTGTTACAGCACAGATCCAGACACTGGCAGCATATAGCATCTGCCCGGCAACTTTAGCATTGAATACTTTGACTTCTTTAGGAACATATTGGCCACCCGTGTAATAAAAAAAGTCTTGGGCCCCTGCCACATGGGGGGAGCACGGGCAAAGTGCGGCTTTTGAAAGCTGCACCAAAAGAGACATGCGATGGCGGGATCACATAGATCCCCTGAGCCGCTGCGCAGTGCCTCCCCGGCATGATCAGATGCCGGGGGGGGGGAACCACTGAAGGAAGAGCACGGCAGCCGAACTGCACATGTGTGCACATGTGCATTCGGCCAGGAGCCTGGATTGCTCCAGACGACGGGTGCGCCGGCGATCCCAAAGCCGCGCTTGATGTGGCATTCCAGGTAAGTCCTCCTCTGTAGGTGGTTCTTTTTTGCAGTGGGTTTTCCGGCTTTAGGCATGGGTGAGCGCCGCTTCCCAGATGTTGCGGTGAGATCGCGCCCATTTGCTGCACCCCCAATCCGTCCCTCTCCCAGGCCAAAACCTTCCGTGTGACCGGGGCCTTGAGATTACCTTCCCAGTACTCATAGAGCATCTAACAGCAGAGTTCAAGTGCCCCTTCTAGGAAAGATTTGCTTGAAAGATGATTCCTAAATATTTAAAATGCTCTACTTGCTCCATAGGTTGACCTGCCACCAACCATTTATACTTCTTTACCTTCCATTTTCTTTTTACTAAAAAGAAGAACCTTAAACTTAGCAACATTAATAACTAAGCCTTTTCTGGAACAATATTCCAAGAAGAAACTTAAGAGCTTGTGTAGGCCAACCGCAGACCTTGACAAAAGGGCAGTATCATCTGCATATACTAGACTGGGTAATTTAACATGGACCTGGGAAGGTGGATGAAATTCATTTCCATATATATAAGAAGTTAAGTCATTAAGGTATAAATTGAATAGTAGTAGAGCAAGGATGCATTCTTGCTTAACTCCCCTGTGCGACCTTATTTGGAGTTCTGTGTACAGTTCTGGCCACCACACCTTAGGGACCGCCTCTTCCCATATGTTCCCCCAAGAGCGCTGCGATCAGGGAGCCTGGACCTCCTTGAGGTACCAGGCCCACGGGACATCAAGTTTGCCCAGACCAAGGCCAGGGCTTTTTCGGTGGCGGCTCCTACCTGGTGGAATGAGCTCCCGGCGGAGATCCAGGCCCTGCGGGACCTTGTACAGTTCTGCAGGGCCTGTAAGACGGAGCTCTTCCGCCAGGCTTTCGAGTAGGAGCCGCCGCCGCCGCCACTATACCATCAACGTGGCCTGTTTTACCATCTACCCTGGCATGGGGTGTGGACAGATGTTGCCCAGAAGGGGAACATGACTCGGGCACTCCTGCTTTTAGACCATTGCCCACCAGTGAGTGACATCGACCATCTTGATCTTTTATAAAT